ACACCCTGTATATTGTATAGTGATTTTCGTCGAGAGCACGAAAATATGCGTGAAATGCGCCTGACGCAGTAGTTTATGCTACTCGAACTGCTGATTCTTGGTTGATATATAGGTACAGTGAAACCAATAAATGAAATAAAAATTAAATAACTGAAAATGGCGAAACAGTTAAAGAACGCGCCTTCCAAGTAGTATAACTCATCGCGTCAGGCGTATTTCACGCGTATTCTGCCCATATATTCGACGAATAATAACTGGAAAAATGAAGCCTCAAACGGCTCAGAAACATTTCCAACGAATCAGTGACATCGTGTTCACGGTGACCTTCCGCCGGTTATTTTTTTGTTACAAACACGATTTCACCATTACATCGAAACACGTTCCACCATTCCAGCTGTTATAACACACCGTAAAAAAAAAATATTTATCGAAAGACTGTATCACGACTATTCCGCACCTCGGTATCGTTTAACGCGCGTCGTTCATCGTGTTCGGGCGATAAATTTAAGGTATGAAATTCCCTTTAACACCTTCGACTATCTGTGATTGGCGGTCGAACCGATGCGACTGGAGCCATTAAATTACACGAAGATATAGGGTACATGTCCCACTTATGGAGGCCGAATCTGGACTTGGGTCGGACACGACCCGAACCTTGCCATTAGAGTAAGATGTTTGGTTAGGTGATGAGGTGGTTAAGATGCTATAACAATGCAATTTCTCGGATCTTCTACAACTTTTATTCCAATATGAGAGTGAAAAAATTCGTTGACTTATAAATTTATATATTTTCAGTAGTTTGTCGTATCTGATAGACATAGATATATACATTTATCGCCGGGTAGTTCTAGTATTAATAGCAAAGAAAATAACAAACGCATTGACATTGTCCAAGATCTAGTAAAAACTGTGCCAGTCGTATCGGTTCGAAATTCTTTCTTCAGTCCTCGACCGAGGACAGGCGCGACCTCATCTCCAGAGCGTCAGGCGGCTCAAGCTCGCGTTCTGTCGTCGGCTGGAACAGCTGAAATTGTAAGGATTAATCGTTCGCCACTTCCGTTCGAATTATCCACTTGACGATTTGAATCGGGCCGGTTGTGGGCGGCCCACGATCCCCGTTTGAAAGAAGCCAGCGTCTATAAATACGGGCCACGAGGTGTATTAATTTTCCTTATGCAGGCCGCACCAGTCGCGTCATTAAACGGTTAACGCACCTATCTGAGCACGAAAAACCGATACACTCCCTCCATCTCTGAGCAAGGTTACAGCTATGAATTTTATGTCCTCGCGGCGAGGCACGGCGCGTCATCGCCGACAAAAAACCTACGCGCGCGCGATCTGACGCGTTAACCTCAACGATCTCGGTTACCAAACGCGCGCGTCTTTCCGGCTTACGTCACTCGACGATCTCGATCGTGTTTTCCACGGGGGAAAACACTTTTCTGCGTTCTCGACGGCTGTGTGTGTTCGTTACGTAATCGTAACGATACTCAGTCGTGGCTGACAGACGAAGCGTGTCCAGGCGCGTACGGTTCCTTTTAATTCTACGACAAAGTGGAATTTCACAGAGAAGGTAAATTTCTTGGTAACAGATATTTTACAATGTTAGGAATATATTTATTAACAAGAAGCCTACTGATATTATTTTATCTAATAAACCCGTGATTCTATTCAAATTATAGACATCTTCCCGCCATTTCTGTTCACAAGATGGCGGCCGAAGAACCGTCTTTTTTCCTTGTTTTCCTGATATAACGGAAGTCATGATTCTTCACGGTTTCCTATAAACCTGAACCACTACGCCACGAAAGGGATGCAGAATATTCTCGATATTATCACCGGTGTCTTGCCCCTCGATAAAAAGTTCCTTTTAAACTCGAAGAATTCCAAGATGGTCGTAGAACGAACGGTCCCGGAATCAGATCACCGGAACTATCCTAGTCGTTGCGGTTTGGAAGTTTTCGATCGAAGGAACGCGCCCCCGCGCTTCTCGGCATAATATCCGCCCCTGGGCGTAGCGGTTTGGCGCGAATTCCTCCGTATTTCCAGGTGAACATACCGTCGATTGGGCCCTCTATCGTGGTCGGTTCGAGATTATTGCAATCCCACAGAAAATCCCACTATAGAGTAATGATAAAACTCTGTTCCTGCAAATATGGCCGCCACCAGGGGCCCGCGCGCGGCCCTATATTACACGTGGTGCGCAATTATGCCCGCGGTATCGTATTTAATTGAACACGTGTACTTACACCGCGTTTCGTGCGAATAAATTCAATGGACGTGTGTTGCGCGCGCGCGCAAGCGTTGAATTGCTGGCTGAACTGGACACTCGGTGAACGGATCCACCTTGGATTACTTTCTTGGGTGTGTTATACGTAGTATGTGCGCACAGAATTGGATAGATTAAAAGAAAAAAATATTTACTTAAAATATTTACAAACTTCGCCCCCAAGGTTTTTTGATTATTTTTCGAAAACTAATCCATATTCTATTCCGACAAAAATTGTACAGCCACTTTGAAACCTTAATTACCTAACCCAATTATGATGTCTTCATACAACTTCATACAAAAGAAATAAGAAATAGTGTACAGAGGGATCTTATTACCGACCGATAAAAGTGTCCTTTACAGACCAGAGCTTAATGTCCCTCTCCGCTTGGTATTCGAAATAAAGCTCAATCCTAAGTCCCTATACCTTCTGACAGCAAAAGCTTTCGCCTGAATTCCACTCGTTTGCAATCAGTAGCAACCAGTAATCGTCTGACATTTAGAAACACCTGGGCTCCATCGATTCATCTTTGTCCACTGAGATTGGTCTCGAACTCCCCCCCAACAAAAAACACACCTTTCGAAACGGAACTTTCCCTCCAATTCAAAACCATCGTTCCTGCGCAATCGAGATATTCCATGCACACATTCGCGTTCGCGCGCTCTAATCATCTGCGTTTCCACGCGGGACAAAAACCCAGAGCCGTAGAGCACGTCCGTCAGAAAAAGGGTCGCGTCTTCACTAACGATCGTAACGCAGGTATCCATCACGCGTAACAGTATATCGGTATTTTTTCGCGGTCCGTGCATTCTCGACGGAACGAAACCAGCGGATTTTTCCGGGGTTCCTGTTCTCCGTGTTCAGGTCTGACCTGAACACCTATTATCATTGCATTTAATGGTAATCAATTAACTTGTTTCCCAACCGTTCACCGGTGCGCGTCGAGCCGAGTTAGAGAAATTCTCTCGCGATCTGCACGCTCCAATTCACGCGAAGCCGGCGTACCGCCAAAGCGGTGTTTGTGCAGGATTCGACGTGGACCAACTGTGGCCACGATCCGCCATTCTTGCTCTTTTTCTTCCCCCGTCTCTACTCCTTCTTCCCTAGTACCTGAGAAATGCCCCGGGGCTGGAATTCGCGGCGGGTAGGTCGCCGGGGGATCTCCTGATCGTTGGCTCATCGTTTTCCTTCTATTTTCCCCCTCGAGGATAATTCGCGTGGCTCGATTCGAATCGCGGCTCGGCAATTATTTAAATGATATCCGGCCGACGGTCCGGGTTTGTTTTATTGCCCCGCCAATCACGGGGCGAGCGCCGCCTATCGTTCACGCGCATGAGGGCACGTTTCCACGGTAAATTTACACTTGTACACCAACGAGCAACCTCGGTTTCCACTAAGGGAAAAAGTGAGAAGGACCTCCTGTGATTTGGTTTCGGGAATAATTGAAGTATATGTCAAATTAATATTCGATTTAACATTTATTTCAGTATTTGAAAGGACCTGCTACCATTTAGTTTTTGGAGTTACGGAAGTTTATACCAAATTATCATTTGATTTAACATCTGTTTCATTACCTGAAATAATTTACAAAGTGGTAGACTGTCAACAACGGTACTATAGGCAACTCTCCCCTATATCAGTGGCCCGTTCACTCGACTCGAGTAAACGTTTCTTATTTCCACAACGAACATTCGAAATCTTTTGTTTACGTAAGAATATTCACCCGTTTCTGCATCGATATCAGACAGTTTTCACTCGCGGACTTTCGGCTGCGGTTTCCACTATATTGACGTAACGCGTCCGTGATGAATTAATTAACAGCTCGTCGACTCGCCGGAATTAGGAGGCGAACCGTGGCCGTAAGGTTCGGCGAAGGAAAAAATGCATCGATAATCGAGACGCGAAAAAAGAATCACGAAGTTGACGCGCAACCATCTAACAAATGGTGCGTGTGCCTGGTGATCGTCCTCTCCCTTCAGGGAATAATGGGTTGAGTAATTACGAGGAAGTAATCACCGACACCACAATTAAATCCCAGCGATTCACGGGAAAGTAAGAGGCTCGCGAGGCACTCGAGAATTCGCGCTTTCACCAGCGAGCAGAGGATGAATCGGATCACGGTGGATCTAGAAGAATTTATTTTTAGTACTTTTATACGGGTTTCCGTTGTGTAACGGATCCGTTCTCCTGATCTGTCACGATATTATCTTCCCATTCCGGAAGATCCCGCGTTTGTAATGCCCGGTTAATTGATCACAGGCTCGAGTCTGTGCTGCGCGCAGTTATCGAGGGAAGTAGGTGTTTTCTAGAAACTGCGTGCTGTTATCATAAATTTCTAAATAATGTTACTCTGTAGGTAAATGTAACTAAAGCTCCGTGACTTTTATAGTAATGAATTTGAAAAGTTAACTAACTTATCTTTTCGTTATATTAATTTTTTACCACTGTTTGTCAATTCGACATCGAGGGACAAATTATGTTGGGAAAACGAAGAACGGATAATGGTTAACTTCTTGATCTTCAAATAATTTCTTTAGATTGAATTGATGTTGGTTAATTTCTTGTCCTGAAAATGAAATATTCTATTGTTTCTGTTTCTTTTCTTTTTCGAAGTTTCGGTGAATCGTCGAAGAACGCCTCGACGAACGAGGACGATCTTCGACGGGAACCAAAAATTTCGGATTGCTTGACACTCGATCTCACATGGGGGATACGTTGATCCTGTTGCAGACGATGAGCTTGACCAAACGCATAGACGAGGTCAGGTTGCTCGAGTCACGTAAGAGCGCCCGGCTGGCCGATCAGGACACAGATTTCGCCAGGCTCGCCGACATGGCCGGCGATCGGAAGCGGGCCTCATCCCACTCCATCGATGTGCCACACGTGATTGGGTAAGTCTCACTAAACCTTCATTGGGTAACAATTTTTTTGGGCGTGTTTCGTTATCGTTCACCGTCCAGACACATGCGTCTTCATAGCGAAAGATAGAACGTGTAAATTGAATGATTCTTGCCGCTGGAACTACGGTTCGCTTCAATATTACCGGTAAGAATCAGCTGCGCCGATGCGTACACTATACAGGTAGTTCATAAAAATGTTCGACAATTTCGCAGAGTGGATTCTACATAGAAAACTAAGATGAAAATGAAGAACAACGAAATTGCGTTCGAGGCTTCGTTTTCGAGTTATTAATTGTTCAATATAGTAAAAAATACATACGTCTGACGCGATGGGTTATTGGTTACCTATACTGTATCTATATATTCGGACAGCTGATTCTCAACTGATATACAGTGACTCACAAATTCGTTCACACTCTTCTGATACAAAAATTATGTGTCGAAACTTTTATACAATTTCTATTCATATATTCTTTGTATCAGTACTTTTTATCATCCTTTCGTGATAAAGTTTTTTCAATTTTGAAATAAAATTGACATTTTGGTGAATAATTTGTATCATTACAATTGACATAATTGGTGACAAATTCGTGAGTCAGTGTACCCGGGCTCGATCAATGACCCACTGAAAATTATGAATGAAATAAAATGAAATGAATGAAACCTACTTGTGAAACAGTTGAACAACGCGCCTCTTAAGTAGTATATCTCGCCGCGTCAAGCGTATTTCACGCGTATTTTCTACGATTAATACCTCGAAAACGAAGCTTAGAACGGAATTCTGTGATTCTTGATTTTCGTTTTTGTTTTGCATGTGGAATCCACACTGTGAATGACCCACATTTTTATTAACATCCTCTATATCGCACAGTGATTTTTGTCGAGGGCACGATTTCCTTAGTTTTCGTCGGTTATGATCTAACGGAGGCTTCCAAATGTGCCATTTTCTTCGGACATTCAGCTTAATTGTAGAAACAATAATCGCGCCGCCGTTTAACAAGAATCACTGGTAGCTACCATACACTCTACTTTCTCTTTTCCTCTAAGCAATTGCTCAGGGGGCGAGAATATTAATTCGCGGAACTATCGTCACAGGAACAGTTCGGTCCCGACGAATCCATTCCAATTGTTCCTCCGTATCCTGCATGCAGTCACCAATCCCACAACCACGAATAAAAACTAGGATGTAACCCCGATGAAACCGCGTGAGTACCTCTTACTTACGCATCCGTTCATAGATCATCGAAGACTCGCGGCATCTGACCGTGGAAAACCTTAAGCTGCGTCTACACTATATAGGAAAACAATGTTATATAACAAATTGTTATATAATCTTGCTATACAATATGTTTTTTTAACTTGTTACATGATTATACCTTTTGGACAAGTCTATAACAAGTTTTTATTGCATTTCACATCTGATTATAAATAATGGGGTCACACTTGGATAACATATAACTTGCTATATAATACTAAAATGTCATGTTATTTTTTTCTGTTTCTCCAACAAGTTTTATAACTTGCTATACGTATAACGTGCTATGCTATACAGTGTAGACGCAGCTTTAAACAAGCAGACGATACAAATAAATTATTTTACTGTAGATTGTCTCATAACACCAGCTTACCAAACTATCAAAAATAATTAAAATACAATTAAAAATTTTAATCAATCCTTTAATCAAATTAATATCGATTATAATTCTAATTTTAGAGGTGTTTTTCGGTGTTTTTTTTTCAAAGTTCCTACAGTGTTAATTACATTTTGTATGGATCGATTTTTTTCACTTTTGTCCATTGGACGACACACTGGGTGTTGCCGTTAATCTTGTGAACGTTGGGCTGAATAATTACTGTTTTAATTTTTCATTATTTCTAAGTCTATTATAAATGCTTATAATGTAGACTTCTATCTAAAAAAATGATATTTTTCTAAAATACTACGTAGTTTTCTTTCAGTCGTAATTTTTACGAATAATTAGTAATAACGTAAATCGCAGGATAGTTTAGTTTTTTAACGACGTAAGTATCGATTAGTATGGATGATCGAGTTCACCGTGTACCGTAAACGGAACGTGTTAACGCCTCGTGGAATTCCGCGCCGCGAGGAATTCCCCCGTAGGAGCGGCCTGAAACCGTAACACGATCTTATCGTAGGGAATTCGTTTCGAATCTACTCTGCTCGTCTAAAAAAACCTTCCCGTAAGAACGATCCATCGTCGAGTCAGCCCCCTCCGAAACGATCCAGACTACCCTTGAAAAATTCCAATCGCGCTGGATTTAGGTGGCGACCAGATCTGACGAAGCAAATTTTTCCCAAGTCTGGCGTTATGGGAAAAGAGGGGGAGGGAATAAATAAACAAATCAAATTTCAATAGCCCAGAAAATAATATGTAGTAGTTCCTTTTTATTTTCAGACGCAAATGTACTTTATTGCAAGGCATTTTTAGAAATGAATTGGTTAATGATATTTGCTGTATTATACACGGTGTAAGAAAAGTGTGATAATAAGCGTGATAACGATTTCAAACTGAATTTGAAATCAGAATTGAACATGTATATTATTCATTTTCTTTGAGTCGAGGTAAAACACTGTGTCACTGGCATTAACATTTAAGGTTTAAAATAAATGTAACACTTGCCATGAGAATAGAATTCCTTTTGTATCTGCGAAAATATTAACGGTAAAGAAATTCTTGAGAGTGAAGTACAAGGAAATCGTATGGCAATGGGTTTTTCGTTAATATCTCGTTAACAAAGCTCCGGATAACATTTTTACTGAGGAAAAACGTGCGTCCCCGATGGTTCGACAGTTTCTAAAAAAGGGCATCGTGCTCACCCACACGTTGCATCGAATAGGGGGAAGGAGGGGAACGTTAAATGGCGTCCGGTTCCCGGTGTAGATCGTTAGACCGTGAATGCACCCTCGCCGGACACCTGTCCCTCGCCCCTTCAGACTGTGCCCGCCGAAACGGTGTTTTTCCCCCTAGACGGAGTCGGGGCGATCGTCTCGGAATTCGATCCAAGGAAGGGTCGCGACGATTCACAGCCCCTTTAGGGGCCGAAAGGGAGATCTCGTGGGATAGTCGGTGCAAGAATTGATCCCTTAATACAGGGTGGGGGTATGCCTTTGACCTCTGTAAGGCGAATTATATTCGATAATGTGTAGGTACATTGTGTTCGTAGTAGTCTTGAAAGAACCTTCGAAGCAATAGGTGCTAGGGGCTGAATTATGGACGAGTGGATTGTCATTCTTGCGATGATTATTCCGCCTTTCTGCCAGGTGCTTCAATCGGAGGTGGATGGAATTTTGTTCGTGTGATACGTAAAGAAACGCAACGGTATTTAAAGGCGAATTTAGAGTTTACTGTTTCGGTATGGTGATTAATTTACACTGAAAGGTTTGAAGATTGTTTTCATCTGCAGTTCATCCGAAATGAGTAATCCAATGTGAACAATCCAAAGTGTATAATGCAAAGTGACTTTAGAAAGTGAAAGTGAAAGTGGCATGAAAGTGAAGTTATTTATTGTTAATCTGGTAAACATTGAAGGTCAACTTCGTTTTGTTAAATTGACAAAAAAATAAGAAAAGAGAATTAAAATAACACGAAACAGTTTTAGACAAAAATTGTTAATTTTTCTTGCATGAATTAATGATCTGTTAAAAACATATATAACTATCCATTTAAAAAATGAAGTTGACCTTCAAATGACCTTCGAAACATTCACCAGCTTGAAAATAAATAATCTCATTCTTTTTCCCCCACAAAACCAAACAACCTTTGTCTAGAATATACTCTCTTACGAAACGCTTTGTTTTTATGATGTGCCAACTTAAATGCCGCACCCTGTATACGGCTGTTATTATCGAACAATTTGGCCACCCGTGGTGTATACCCACGGAACCAAGTTAGGGGACCCTTCGAATAGGAAACAGAAGTCTCTGCGTTAGTTTTTTTCCAAGGCATTTCTTCCACCCACCTGAACGACTTTGAGATCCCCTATCTTTTTGGTAGTCACCTCATACCTCGGTAGAGTCGTCCCCCTCACTTTCCTAGTCTCTGTATGGGCCTTACCTGTCCCGTGGATCCGTTCGTTCCTCCGCCACCGAGAAGGGTGGAACGGCCGTGTTCCATGACCGACGACCGATGCCAACGACCTCCTCTCGACTTTTCGTTTTTTTTTTCCCTTCTTTCTTCTCTTTCTCTTCGTGGCTCGAAGGCTGCCAGGACCGAGCCTCGGAGGGATCCTCTCACAAAGGACGAGATCCAGTCGGCGGGGTGGGGAGTGGGACTTCTGCGACGTCCGGCGTGGCGTTCGGGACGACGCGACGCAGACGTTGTACGCGCAGGTTGACGGCCCCCCGTGTTTTCGTGGGCCTGCCTGCACCTGGCCCTGGCACGACCTGCCCCACGTGAAAGGAAAGGTCACAGAGACGAGAAATCGAGCGTGTGTGAACGCGCGCCTTTCGAATCCCCCGAGACGATGTATCGATGACGAAAGCACACACGGGGGCCTACGAGCTACCGTTTCAACCGTGAGAGGAAGAAAGAGAGAGAAAGACCTTGCGCGGCGTCCAAGGATCCATCATCGGTCGACTCGGTCCCATTCCGTAACTGGTCGCTGGGCCTACATGGTGTGCTCCTTGTTCCCACAGATGCGTTGCTTGTGTGCACTATTCGAATTGGACGTTTTGAACGTTGATCGTTCGAAAACGATCGTTTATTCGTATACTCAGCGTTCAGGTTCATTATACAGGATGTTCAAAGAAAAAGGTCTAACAAGGGAAGGCACGGAAGTGTCCCCCTTCGATTTTGATGAAACTTCGTATATCTGTTAAGCAGTCAAAAATAAGGGATACGTATTTCTTTTTATCGGCCGAGACGCGACTTTAAGGGATGAAATCACCCCTCGAAATTTCGATCCTTTTTATCAACGTTGCCACTTCAATTTGAATAATTAATATTTTTAACTACTTCAACGTACGTAAA